GTGGGGTTGTTATACTGATTATCATGCAACATAACCCTACAGCATTTCGATTCGCCAGGATGTCGGCTTTTGAATGCATTTCCTTTTGCCTTCTTGCAGAAATCACACTCGGTAATAAATTACTACATAAGTAGAATGAATTTTTCCTATTGATTTTCGATGGTCTCATAAATTCAAATATATTTTACAGAAAACATGCACAAAAATATGCTTTCTTTTGCTCATTTCGTAGGAACTCACATTGCCTCCATATTTTATGTCCGAAGAAAGTGTGTATTTATGTTTTAAAAAAGTTTCTAATTATGGGTTTTTTAAGACCCTGCGATGTCCATGCATGCAAGACAGCACATGTCCGTTTACTAATGCTCCTCATGAAATGTGCAACACAGTCCGGATCCATTGCAAAATTTCATGCAATCTATGTGGTATCTTCTTAAAGGCATAGAGGAATATATGATTTTTCTTACGCGGAAAGCATGCACCTGGTAGACTGAAATAACTTCACGCTGATGCAATGACAGATCAGGCGGAAAATTATTCGGGAATTGGGAAACTTTTTAAAACCTAAATACACTTTCTTTAGACATTAAATATGAAGACAATGTGATTTCCTATCAAATGAGCAAAAGAAGGCATATTTGTGCATGTTTTCTGTAAAATATATTTGATTTTATAAGACCATCAAAAATCAATAGGAAAAATTCATGCTACGTAAGTAGTCATTTTTTCCGAGTGTGATTTCTGCAGGGCGTCAAAAAAGTGCATTCAAAAACCGATGTCCTGGCGAGTCTGAAATGCTATAGGGTTATGTTGCATGATAATCATTATAACAACCCCACTTAAGTAGTCCTTCCTAATCGGAAATGAATTCCAGAATTTTGGCCAACATTTCATGAGATCGGTCACGCACTGTACATTATTCAAATTATCATCACTGAAGGCATTTGTCAGCAACAGATTTATGGATCTTCCAAAATGTTTGTGTTTGCTCCAAATGCATTGGACCATGTGGTTTGAAAGTTAACATTCCGCATAAAAGTTGAACACTACCGTCTGACTGAGAATGTTTTCAGCGCCAGCTTGAATGTTTAAGAAACTGACTTTACCGCTCGGTGACTAACTGACGCTGACAGAGATCCCCGAGTTTACCGTGACGTTATCGTCTTTCTCGTCTTTGCTCGTAGACCCTCTTTTTTACATTTTTGATTGTTTTTTTACCAGGCGACCTTCTGTTTGGGTTCTAGATTGGTGTCCCAAGAAAAATCGAGTCAAACCTACCCCTCCTAGTAATCCGATTGCTCACGCGGTTATTCCACATGACTTGGAATATTCAGTTCCTTTTCGCCGGCAGAATTAGCGTGATTTCGCCCACAGGTTTAAGCTCCAAAACACAGGAACCACCGGCTGCCAGCTCCATGTAGTGTTCAGTCAGAAACCAATGCTTGAGTGAGCCTGCGAGACTGAGTTGAATGAAATTGCATGCAAACCAACAAGCCTGCTGTTCATTGAGGATCCTGCCGGTAGCATAGCATTACCCATGAAGAACAAGGGAGACTGGAATGACCCAACAATCAGGACCAATCAGTGAAGGCCACACGCAGACGACATACGCAGCTATTCTTGAAGACCTTCTTTGTTCACTTACTGCAGGTTTTTTGGCACCTCAATAAAGTTCATTAGCTTTGTTGTGAAACTTAAGTAACATCTTGTGCGCCAGGGGTAAAACCATCGTTTCTGTAATCCTCTAGTGAATATGTTCGCTCGTGATCATGTTAAGGGAATGCGGGCCGGCTGCTTCAGGCGTTTAAAGTATGTTTGCCTTCTTGGCTGTCAGGCGTAGCATCAGTGTGTGGAAGATTGAGAAGTAATCGTTTACATTACTACTTTTGCAACTAGCGCGTTTGTCGTGATTGCTTTTCTTGGTACCGCCTTCCCTCCTCCCAAACATAACCGCGGGCTCGCAAAAATCCAATCTGCGCTTAATTTTGGATACAACACCTAAACTTGGCTGACGCTACTTCCTACAATGACGAGTTTTTCATACATGCTCGGTAATATTGTCCATTCATCTCAATCCATAAGGAGTTTCAGTGGCTTCTATTGTCACTAAATCAGAAGTGTTCAGGTCCGTCTATATCCACCGCAGTTACAGTAGGTAAGCTAACTCAGGAAATACCAACCGAAATTCCAAACTGCGTTTTTGTTTTGAAAAGATTAATTAAGTAGGGCCGTAAACTTAATCATCAAGCAGCATAATTCTATCATAATTCAGTTACCTCAAGATGCCGGCTTTCGAACAAACCTTTTTCCGGCTGCAGGCAAAAACTACACTCTGCAAATAATGATTACTTAAGCAGCATGCGCTTTTCTCATTAATTTTCGATGCCCTCAAAAATTCAACTATATCTCATGGAAACCGTGCATGAAAATATTCATTCTTTTGCTCATTCGGTAAAAAAATTACGTTCTCTTTCGGTTTTATGCCCGAAAAAAGGGTATAATTTGGTTTTAAGAAAGTTGTTAGTTGTGAGATTTTTTAATACCGTGAGATGGCCGTTCATAAAACGTCGTCTCCATGCATTTACCAATGTGGCTTGTAAAGTTAATAATATGGCTCAAATCCACTGCCAAATTTTATGAACCCCATATGGTCTCCTCTTAACACTATAGAGAAATTTATGGTTTTTAGTACGTGAAAAATATACGGCTTGTAGTTTGGGAACCCCGAATGCAAGTCTAACGGCAGGTCAGATTCAAAATTATTTGCGAATTTGAAAGATTCTATAAAACCTAATTATACCTTCCTTCGAGTGTAAAATTGAAAAAAGACGTAATTTTCTACTGAATGAACAACAGAATGAATATTTTTTATGAATGTTTTCCATGACGTATAATTGAATTTTTCAAGGAATCGAACATCAATTAGAAGAACGAGTGTTACTTAAGTAGTCATCTTTTGCAGAGTGTAGTTTTCGCATGCAGCCGGAAGGAAGTTCATTCGAAAGCCGGCATCCTGACGTAACTGAAATATTATAGAATTATGTTTCAGGCTGACTAGTTCTACAACCCTACTTAATTAATCTTTCTAAAACGAAAACGCATTTTGGAATTTCGGCTGGCATTTCTTGATCTAGCCCACCTACTTTAACTCAATCCTTCGCTTACCCGGCGCTACGTTTGCTTAACGGCTCCTAATAGACGTTATTTTCGCCTAAGCAGAACGCTACGAGTTTCAAATATCAGGAAATTAATTTAGTTCCGCTGTTAAAATCCTAGACTCATTTAAACACGTGAAAAACGTGTAATAACCTGTATGAATGAAGGCATGTCTGATTGACGACTGCGAAAAACATAGAATCGGTACTTCCACCCCTACCGTCATTGACTGTAATATTTTGTATCGGAAATGGTTCTAGGAGGTTTCAAGACTTGTCAAAAACTTAACCGTAAGTTAATCCGTAATCAGAGTTAAAGAGGCCGGATTTGCCACGTCTACCCTGTTAACCGTTCCCATTTCTTGTAGCCCAGGCATTGAAGACCTGAAATGGGAATCCTGAAGGCTGGCGATATGAACTCGTGTCACTTGCTTGTATCCTAGACAACAGGTAGTTTGCCCTAGGAGAGCCACAGCTGGACTAACATCAAGAATATAATTCGTTTTCTAGCCATGCCGGAAATTTCGACTTGATAGTGTACCAACTAACAGGAAGTAAGATGAAGTCTCTTAATTTTTGTGACATATAGTAGTGCCATGTTCAGATCAGCTAAAATCCTTTCGTGGTCCCAGCCTGTGTTGAAACTGCAGTGTCCTTTTCTGACCCGAACATGTAATTCATAAATTTCCCCATATTCTCCACCAACGAAGACTTTTTGAGAGTACCTGGCTGTATCTTGAAAGGGCTTTCCCCGTTTTAGCAAAGACTAGAGTTAACGATGTCCAACGCCGCTACTTGATTTAAAGAGGCCATTATTTTTCTAACATAATTCAATCAGGACCCAAGGGAACCAAAAAACGTCTGTGTGACCACATAAGTTATTAACTTCAAAACGGGGATTGCCGTTTCGTTTTTAGTCAAGCCACGGATATGTGTGTCCGCCGAACTATATCCTCGCAAAGTGCTCCTTTATGCATAAAAACAGGTATGTGGAGTAATTACGATCTTGTTACATTTTATACGTTTAAGAACGCTACATTCCACCTCCTAAAAGTCCCTTCTAACCACTATTTCCATATTACAGGTGGCCTTGGGCCATAGCTTAGAACGGAAGAGGATATACATCTCCGTGCTCGACCACTATTTTAAAAAGAGAACATTTTCATCAACCTGCTTCTTGTACCGATATTAATTACGCCATTTGCACTCTTAGGCTTGCACGGAAGTTGGATTTTCCAGCAAAATATGAAGCGTTTGAATTAATACTAGTTCTGATGGTTCCAAATGATCCTTCTTGGTGTGAAATTTGTGTGACTCAGTAAAATGTGGACTAGCCTTGACAGTTATAGTCACGTGAAATAGGACCTTCTCGAGCCCAACCATGTCATAGGCTGAAAGTGTTGTCAACCCTTGTGACATCCGACTAACTTTTTTTCCTCGTGGACTGACTCGACCAAATAATCCCTGTTAGCTGGGGTCCCTAGCAGGTACCAACCTTTCCGTCACAAATGTTTTAACCTAAAGCATGCGTGCTCGATACAGAGACTGCTGGCTTCGTCATCAGTCGTCAACAATTTGAATTCATTGAGTCCTACTTGGGACAGTCACGCACAGTCGTTCTGTATATCACCTTCCCTAACGAAAGTACGCCGCTATCCAGGGTTACGTCGCGTTACTATGAACTACCACAAAATGAGACTTTGTTCTAGAATAAAAAGTCTATAGAGCATACATGGTACCAAACACCAAGCCTTTTACTGTTTTGTCATGAGGTCAACAATGTTTAAGCAAATTGTCAGCAGTGCTGATGAGTATCCCAGACGCGAAAAGATGGATGGCGTTACTTTACCAGAAGGAGGCCCTTTTCCAGAAGGCGCTGCGCTTCCAGAATGCCGGTGAGCGTTTCCAGAAGGCGTGGGAACGCTTCCAGAAGTGGGGGGAGCGTTTGAGGATTTCCGCCAGATTGTCCTCCTCCTCCTGCGTGGTTTCATCATCCAGGATGTTTCTGTCCTCCACTAGTCTAGAGTAGAGATCTTCCGCCTCCTGGGAATCGTGCATCAGTCTCTGAGCCAGTAGATCTCGATGTTGCGCTGCTACCGCTGCAGACGATTGGCCACTCGCAACTTCGTTGGCAGCAGCGAACGCCGCTAGGAGTACTAGAAGGCCAAAGTGATGGAGGACGCTGATCATTTTCAACCTGGGGTAGTCTGTTATCTCTTGAACTGTCCTTTTCTTACTCGGGGCCAAGTTAGTGCTGTGCAGTTGTGCAGCGCCCATTTTATACGCTCTCGGTAGGATGCCCCCAGCCAATGGGAGGAAGGCGTAAGCTCTCAACCAACCAGAACGTTAAAACAATGGCGCTGTTAATAAAGTCTAATAAGCCACTAATGACCATCGCAGCCTCCCTTGTTTTTGTCGGTACTGCTTCCGCTTTCTGTGTCGTTTGAGAGATCTCAAAAAGGACTCCAGTCAGTCAAGAGAGAGTTCATAATGATCACCATTAGAATTTGCCATTTACACAATCCGTCTGATTTGATGAACAAGCACTTTGAAGCCGGCATAAATAGGTGCTCTGTAACGTCCGAAATTGTGCTACAACCGGTGAATTATCGCCAGTAGAAGAGGGAGGCGCAGTTTTTCTTACCATCCGTCGCGATGTGGGTCAATCATAGAAAACGTTTTGTACACTAGCATTATCCACTCAGAACGAATAGGCGCAGTCTAACGTTTAGCTCCAACTACAAGTAACTTATGAAGTTTTCTGGAAAGAAAATTTATCATGGTAAGGAGCGCTCAGCGATCGTTCTTACAGAACTCACTCGTTCCGTTGTGTCTTACGGGCTCTTTCTTGAGCCCAACCGGCAGCCGCACAGCGGCGCGTGATATAGGCAGTATGCTATTACCGACGAAGACAAGGGAGACTGGAATGGCCGTTTCTGGCTTATTAGCCGTCGTCAGCCAGTCATACCCAACCCCGAAGTGTGGCACGCCCGAGGCTCGAACTCGCGACCTGTTAGTTAGAAGTCCACCCCTCTAACCGCTGGGCCACGAGCCCGTTGCCCTGCCGGTTTCGATCGGAAATATACAGTGGATCTAATTTACTTCGCCTAAAATCACAACACGTCTGCCAAAACAGCCTCGCCTCAGTACTGAATTTGTGTCCTCTCAGATAAACGGCTGTCCATGACAGTGTTTAGAGTGTTTTGACTGGGTAGGTATATTTTGCTTGCTCAACCCACTTTCATGACATCAGATATTCATTGATTCTTTATGTTGGCAGTATCCTTTGAGGGTGTGAATGGCGTGTTAGGGATCTGATTGCGGTAAGGAACATGTCGGTTTCGTTTTGATTTTGGCATTTATTCTGAGTCCTCGGAGGCGACATAGAGCGGACATGTTCACCCATACAATCGGATCTGTGTGGCGTCAGATCCATGTGATTCTGAATATCCCCGATCACGGCCGAGAGAATGGATGTACATGATTCACATGGCAGAATGCTTAACTCTAACGTTCGACAGCCAACTGGGTCAGATTGTGGATCCCTGTAGGATCCAACACGAGGTTGGAGTAGGGCAGGTCATTGAATGCGAATAAGTCCGTAGCATTCAGTAAAATCCTCTTCGTTTTTTGTCGATGTTTCAGCAGATCTGGACCATAGCTACCTCGACTGTTCCGGGAGGAAGTGGAGGTTTTGGTGTTCACACCTCACCTCTACGCAACCAATCAAAAGTCGACTCAGAAGACGAAGATGCGTTCGCTATAACAAGAAATTTATTGATCTGACGTTTCGGATTCTCACTCGAATCCATCATCAGAGACATTCGCAGATGGATTCGAATGAGAATCCCCAGCGTCAGGCCAATAAATTTCTTGTTGCAGCGGTCGCATCTTCGTCTTCTGAACTGCAACCTGGAATTCGCCTATTCGCTTCTATCAGCAAAAATTGATTGTAGGTCAAGTGAACTAGGCGATTTCGTACTTTGGTGAACATCTGCTGTTGCGATCTGTTTGACGGCAGTGTGGATTATGAGTGAAGTGGAGGTGGCCATTAGCTATTTGTACCAGCACAATGGAAGGACGTTTGTGGTGACGTTCGGCAACAGCAGAACGAGTGGGGCTCGAAAAGGCGGGGACGGATTTATATTACGAAGGAGCATGGAAAGTGCTGAAATATCGGTTGTGCAAAGTGATTGAAAGCCTACAGACGGAGTCTACGTTCACCATCAGTCAAGTACAACTACGCACAGTGCTGCGTGTATTTGTATGTTTTTGACAGACTTTCCAGTTACAGCAGTCTTCAAAGTACAGTAGATGTGCTACCTCATGAAATGTTAACCGAAATTCTGAAATGCGCCTTCGACTCGAAAGGATTACTTAAGTAGGGTTGTAACATGAATAACCGTGCAGCATAACTTCAGGATACCGACTTTTGAACGAAATCCCTTCTGGCTGCCTGCAAAAACTACATTCTGCAAAAATGACTACCTACGAAGTATGATTTTTTTCATTGATTTTTGATGACCTTATAAATTCAAGTATGTCTCACAGAAAAAAATGCATAAAAATATTTACTCGTTTACTCATTTAATAAAAATTGCGAATTCTTCACACTTTGTACTTGAAGGAAGAGTATAATTCGGTTTTAAAGAACTTTTCCAATTCTCGAATAATTTTGGACCCGACCTACCGCTACACTTACACTCATGGTTTCCAAACCACAAGCTTTTATCTTTCGAGTATAAAAAACCACACTGTTTCATACGCTATTAAGAGGAGATCATTTACGGTTCATAAAATTTAGCAGTGGATTTTAGCCACTTTGCAAACTTTACGAGCAACATTAGTTAGTGAAGAGACATGATGTTTCTCGAAGGGGCTTTTCGCGGTCTTAAAAAGCTCATAATTAGAAACTCTTTTAAAACCGAATTATACTGTTCCTTCAAGTACGAAGCGTAAAGAAGACGTAATTTTTTTCAAATGAGTTAACAAGTGAATATTTTTCTTCATGTTTTCCATGAAATAAATTTCGATTTATAAGGGCGTCGAAAATCAATGAGAAAAAATTATACTACCTAAGTAGTCATTTTTGCAGAGCGTAGTTTCTGCAGGCAGCCGAAAAGGAGTTCGTTCAAAAGTCGGCATCCGGAAGTAACTGAATTATCATGAAGCTATGCTGCATGGCAATTAATATTAGAAACCTACTTAAGTAATCCTCTCGATTCGAAGGCGCATTTCAAAATTTCGGTTAACATTTCACGAATTAGCACATCTACCATATCTGGTACAAGCCACAGTTAGGCAACCGTACGTTGTAAGAAGTGGGAACAGATTTGTTGCGTTATACAGATGCGGTTCAAATCTCCTCGAAAGCATCCCAGAATTGTCTTGGTGATTGATAAAGTAGTCAGAACACGACGGAGATTAAACTGGCAATGGTATCATATGTCAACAAACACCTCTTCAAAAGACTATCTTTATTGCTCAGCCATATTGCCGGAAACAAACTATGAAACTCATCTCTTTATTATTTTCATAGTGTTCGATTTCATCTTGAATGAAATCTTCTGCGTTGTTTTAAATTTTATTGGTTGGAGACACCGTTGAATCCTCTGGGGGTTGATAGTCGCGAACTTTGAAGACACCGCCAATTACAAAGTCCTTGCAGATTTTGGAGGGGTCTGTTAGATTCTTATCAATATAACTTTAATGCCCCCAATTTTGTTACGCCTAAGGTTTGTCTGCGTGTTCTTTGTGATATTACACCCAAACGCAAGGGAAATCTGGGACATGGAATCCATTAGACGGCTGTGAATGGGCCGCTTAGCGATCTGGATCGTCTAAACGGCATAAATTTTGCATCGTAACTACTTGTAAGTTCTACTGACATTGGCGTCCTTCCATTATCATGAATTAGGTTAGTGCCCTGAGACCAAAGTGTCCAAGAAAAACTGCGTAATTCATAATCGAGTTAAGATAAATTTGTTTTATTCACCGATCGGCTTGTTTATGCTTTTAAAGTTTTACATTAAAGCTTCAGCCTACAGCGCCAATCAAGCTTAACAGAGTCCAACCGAGGCTGACATGCCTCAATGGCAAATCCAAGTCTCCGTTATGAGTATACCCACTGTACAGTAGGTGCACTAACTCATGAAATGTCAACCGAAATTCCGAAACGCGTTTTCGTTTCGAAAATATTAATTTCGCAGGGTTGTAAAAGTAATCATCATTCAGCATAGTTCTATAATAATTCAGCTATCTCAGGATGCCGGCTTTAGAACGAACTCCTTTCGGACTACATGCAACAACTATACTCTGTAAAAACTGACTACTTAATAAGCATAAATTTTTCTCATTGATTTTCAATGCCCCTAAATGTTAAATTATATTTCATAGAAAACATGCATAAAAATATTCATTCTTTTATTCAGTCCGTTGAAAAGTACGTCTTTTTCCAATCTTATAATCGAAGGAAGAGTATTATTCTGTTTTCAAAAACTTTTTTCAATTCCCGAATAATTTTGAACCTGCTCTACCATCATACTTGCATTCAGGGTTTCCAAACTACAAGCCATGTATTTTCCGCATACGGAAAAGCGTACATTTCTCCTCTGTATTAAGAGGAGACCATATGGGGTTCATAAAATAAAGCAGTGGATTTAAGGCACATTGTTAACTTTACGGTTCACATTTGGTAAATACAGAGACATGGCGTTTTATGAAGGGCCATTCCATGGTATTAAACAATCTCATAATTAGAAACTTTTTTACGGATGGATGCGAATATGCGAATCCCAGGTTCTTGTTGTAAAGAAGTTGAAGACCCGATCTCTGGGACAGTAGGTTTATTAGTCTGAGCTTTCGGTCTCGTACAGGAGGCCATCGTCAGAGACTGTGGGAAGGCAACATCAAATGAGCGGTTTTTGTAGTCATGCCATGAAGGGGGGGGAGAGATATGAGTGCAGAGGGTGGTATTCGCGATAAGTTGAGTCCCACGCCGTCTCACGGTGGCGTGACTGCGTGCACCCTTGGCTGGAAATTGGGTTTCGCCCCTTGGCCGCGGGAACGGAGCGCGTGATAATACTCTCCCTTCGAGTATAAAATTGGAAAAAAACGTAATTTTATACCGAATGAGCAGAAGAATGAATATTTTTGTATATGTTTTCCATGAAATATAATAGGACTTTTAGGGGCATCGATAATCAATGAGAAAAATTCATGCTACATATGCAGTCATTTTTTACACAATGTAGTTTTTTGCATGCAGCCAGAAGGAA